CTCTAGCTTTGCAGGCTGTTAAGTTAATTTTCTTTAAAAACAAAAAATGACTATATACCATGAATACTGTCTAAGCCATAGATAAATTCAGTTGTTTATCTGGACCTGATGCTTAATGGATAAATGCATCTTTTAAAAATGCAGATTCTGATTTAGTGTATCTGGAGTAGTACCCAAGATTTTGCATTTTAACCAGCTACCATGTGATGCCTGATCGGCTGATCTATGGGACACATTTGAGTAACAAGAATTCTATAGATCCTGTTTCTAGGCAGAATTGCTTTAAGACACTTTCCTTATGCTCTCTAGGAGAACGTTTTTAAATTATATTTTACTCATTTGTTCGAGGACCTCCTACACCTCACAGAAAGGGATTTTTTATAACTAACCTGAGGTTTTTCTACTACAATCAGTCACATTTCTTCCCATGTCTTTCTCAGTGAAGGATGGCTGGCTCTCTATCTTCTTAGATTTAAGGATAATGTCACAATATTACCCTGCCTCCTTCTCTGCCAGGATGATATATCCCAAACTTTCTTTTATTTTCCTTTTTTTTTTCTTCTTCTTTTCTTTTTTTGAGTTGAATACATTTTCAAATTGATTTAGAGATGGGTTTTGAGTGTTTTTTTCTATAAATTTCCCCAATTGGTTGTTTTCTACTGTTTATCTCTTGCCTATTTTGGATACAGGACATTCCACCACTGAAGAGAGTCCCTGGTGGCCAATAACACATCTATGCATCCCCAAGCAGCTACCATTTAGGGACATAAATGGAGGGATATATGGAGTTCCATTTATTTATTAAGGGTTCTGAGAAAATGCCAGCATAGGGATGCACCATGGTAGCATTCTCCAGATGTTGAGAAGTCTGACTTGGTTTGGGGGCCACTGGTGATTATTTCTCTTCTAATGTAATCATAGCACCTGAAGGGAATATTGGGTCTCCAAGCATGAACAATGCAAAGAAATCTTGAATTGAATGACCCCTATGGGTACAAGTCTAAGCTGACTGACTGTGACTGTGACGGTGACATTCATTTCCTGCCTGCTGCCAGTGCTGAAATCATGGTTAGAGAGAAGAGCAGAAGTTAATTGCCTCAGGGAAAAGATCCCTGTGCTAATCGTCACATTAAAGTTCACATTGCATTAAAGTTTCTAGCTCAGGTTTATTCCAGCAGCTGGGCTCAGACGAGCCATGGAATCTCATGTCTGTACATAGTGACTCTTCTCCAGAGAAATTTTCCACTTCCATTGAGACTGAAATGGGAAAACATTTAGTTTGAACTATAGTTTGAAGACCTCAGTGGGTCCAGGAAGCCCGGAGTGAGAGAGGAAACTTAATTTTGTCTTGTGTGGGCCAGATCATACCAAGAGGGGCTGGCTCTCAGACCTAGAGATTCAGGTAGGCTAAAGGGTCATTTATTAGACCTGATGAAGATGATTCTGAATCATGTTTTCAACTCACCACAGCAGGACAGATAGCAACCACAACCAACTTAACAAAGAAACCCCAGGAAATATCAACATTTGATTGGTTTATTGGGTGGAAGGCAAGAGCTTGAGATCAGGAGTTATCTTTTTTTTTTTAATAAATGGGGCCTGACCTATCACCCAGGCTGGAGCGCAATGGCGATTTTTATAGGTGCAGTCATAACTCACTAGAGCAAACTCCCGGGCTCAAGCAGTCCTCTGCTTCAGCCCCCTGAGGAGCTAGCATTACAGGTGTGCACCACCACACATGGCACAAGTTATTTTTTATGAGTACTCAGCATATCAGAGCCATTCTCACCTTTCCTATAATCCATACCCTTTTACATCTCCTTCATGTTACATTTATTATACAAGGCAAATCTGCAGAGTAAAGTCACCAAAGTGCTGCCAAGGTAACCTGGACTCTAATTATGAGTCTAAGTTAATCATTTAATAGTGCCGTGTGGTCTCAGACAAATTACATAGTCTATTTAAACCTCAGTTTTCCAGTCCTCAAAGTGGAAACAATAACATTTATTTTGCAACTTAAATTTTTATTTTATTTTTTCAGCATTAAATGAAATTGTATGTAAAACAATTTTAATACTGTGCAGATGGCAGACACTTCGGAAATCTTCTTCAGATCTCATCTGTTTTGACTCCTTTCTTCTGAATCCTTCTAATCTGAAGCTGTCTAATTGTGTTCTGCTTGAGGTTTTTATATTTTGACTTAAATGTAGGTCATTTGTTTACCAAATATGAAAGTCAAGTCCCCAGGGATAATATTTCTTCATCTGTTGCTTTAAATTTCCCTGAGAGACCCAGAGAGTTTTGTTTATTTAAATCCACTTTACATTTTGAGCTTCTGCTAGTGCCAGGCATCCTACTGGGCACTGTGAAGTGCACAGCAATGAACAGGACATGGCAACTGTCAGGAGGAAATATGGTATTTATTAGAGAACTAGCTAATTATATTGTAAAGAAGACTCTGATAAACACCATAGAAAAGGTGGAATTAATGAGGAGGGAGAAATTAATTATCTAGTGGGAGTAATGAAGAGAAATAAATTAATTCCTTCTCAGGAGGTAGGGGAAGACTTTTAGAGGAGGTGGTATTTATGCTAGACCTTGAAGGAAAGACCTTTATTTCAACCTCTTGTTCTTCTGTACTTAGAAAGCAATCACTCTTTGAATCATGCTAAATTGCTAGTAGTCAATAGTGAAACCAACCTATAGCATTGTCTGTTGAATTCCTGCATCACTGCATTAAGAAAAGAGCACTGGACAGTCCCGTGGAACTGTACTTCCACTTCAAGGCAAGGCATTCAACCTTTCAATGCAAGTAGCTGATTTTTTGTTTTTTGTTTTTTCTTGGCTTTACACATTGCTATGGTTTGAATGTTTGTCCCCTCCAAAACTCATGCTGAAATTTAATTGCCATTGTAACAGTATAAAGAGGAAGCACATTTTAGCAGTGATTAAGCCAGGAGGCCTCTACCTTCATGGGTGGGATTGGTGTAGATATAAAGGGTAGGTTCAGTCAGACCCCACTTTCCCTCTCCTGCCCTCTTGCCTTCCACTATGTGATGACATAGCAAGAAGGCTCTCGCCAGATGCTGGCACTGTGTCACTGGACTTCCCAACCTCCAAAACTGTGAGCTGATAAGTTTCCATTTTTATAAGCTACCCAGTCTCAGGTATCCCGTTATAGCAGCACAAAACAGACTAAGACACATTTCTGTGCAACTTCCTCTACCTCAGTGTAGTTTAAAACCAATTTCCTCTCACTCAGTAGAAGCTGTATTACCATATGCCTCATATTCCAGAAGAAAATAAGTTTTTTAATGTAGTTAAACACAATACTATTTCAGCCATTATTTTAAAACAATTATATTATTGACTCATTATTCTTCTTCATTTATTTTTAATTAATTTATTAACTAATTTATTTTGAGACAAAGTTTCACTCCTGTTGCCCAGGCTGGAGTGCAATGGCGCAATCTCAGCTCACTGCAACCTCCGCCTCCCAAGTGCAAGCAATTCTCCTGCCTTAGTCTCCCGAGTAGCTGGGACTACAGGCGCTTGCCACCACGCCGGCTATTTTTTTTATTTTTTAGTAGAGACAGGGTTTCACTATGTTGGCTGGGCTAGTCTCAAACTTCTGACCTCAGGTGATCCACCTGCCTCAGTTTCCCAAAGTGCTGGGATTAGAGGCATGAGCCACATCGCCTGGCCTCATTATTCATCTTTAAATGTCTTCCTTAAACCCTGTCAGCTCCTTCATATCTCCTGTTTGTTGAAACATACAGAACTGGACGTAGGGTGCTGGGGAGGCTGCAGCCAAGATTTGGAATGAAGAAACTGATTATCCTCAGCTACACTTTGCTCAAGGCCCACCCATTTGTTCATGCAAATACAACCAGATATAAGCTGCCTTGAAAGAGTGTGACCCTATGCACTCTCTGTCAATTGACCTAAATTCCAAATTGTCTCAGTTAATAAAAAATAAAAATAAAACAAACAAAACTAGCCTTTAAAGTGTTTCTCTAGGTCCCAAGACTGTGTCTGCTTGCTTGCTGGGTGGGTGGCATTGGGCTCTCAGCCTCAGAGCTAGTTGAGAAGCAAGATATGCTCCACTTGCCTCCTGCAGAATTTCTCCCTCCTGGGTTAAATGTGTTTAACCTTTGGAATAAAGCAATATGATATTCAAACATCTTCTAATGAGGCTCTTCAACTTAGGTCTTTGAGTTTTTATTCACCTGAGTGATTTCCCTTAAGCTTGTAAAAATAGACAATTGCCAGGTTTAATACCATCTCTTCTTGTTAAGAAACCAGCAACCAAAACTGTCAGTCAGCTAGGACACTATAATTGTGTTAGTGCTTTAGCCACATGAAAGCACAGACACATTGCTGCTCAGTCTCATCTGAGGTGTAGCTTTGGTTAACACCACTGACAGTATCAACAGTCTTTCACAGACTCTAAAAAGAACTATCTTCTGAACCTGCCGAGAGAAGTAGGAGGCTACTATTTCTGTACATAGGTAATATGCATATTTACTATGACTGTTCCAGGAGAAGAAAAACTAACCCCCAAAAATAAATCTATTCCTAAATAACTACCTAAGGGAGTGTTATCTTTTAGGATAAACACTAAGGGGAAAAAGCATCCTGACTCTATAAAATGTCCTGTGTTTGAATTGAAGAGATGGGCTACAGATGAGCTCCAGAAAAGTCTAGTTTGGTCATGACATTCATTTGGGTCTTAATTTTGTTTGTGTTTTGACTTTGTTTTACTACGAGAAGGGATACTAATCTCTTTTCTCCCTAACGATTAAGGATATTGTGCACATTACATAACACAAAAGATGTAAAACGTCTTTGAGAGTAAAAGCAATAGGAGAAAATTAGTAAGGCAAAAATACTTTTTACTTTAGCTCCCCAATTATATCGATGAAGTGAATCAGACTTATTTTGCATTACTTTTTCTACATCCACATCAAGGTTTTGTGGGTCGAGGACACCAGGCATACCTGAAGGATTCATAGTTGAGAAACAATGTGATGCTCGGAAAAATCACTGGGCTGATGATTCCAGATGGGAGAGAGGATGCAGGATCCTGGACCTAGGGAAAGAGCAGTAGAGGTACTGATGTCCTGCTTATTGCCTATTGCTTGGCAGTGTCTTTAGAATTAAAGGGACAGGAAGAAACAATTATATCACATTTTTAAGTTAAAAGAGACTTTTACAGATGAGCATCTCTAGAATAAGTCACACTGATACTAAAGTAACCAAGAAGGTTCTGTCCTAGGGGACTGAAGACAGTATATCTGAAAAAGGGTGACTATAGAATTGCAGTTTAGTGTTGTTACTCACATATAGAGCTCTTTACCCCCAACTTGATAAAAAACTGAGCACCATTTCTGGTCTTTGTCTTGACCCATATTTGAAGCCAAGAAAGGGGACATAATCAATGTTTCCTCAGGGACACAGAATTCATGGGCCTGGCTTCAGGAATCCCTGAAGACAGCTTGTCCTGGTGACTGGGCTTCTTCAATCCTCCTACCGAGGTGCATTTAGGCCATGCACAGGGAACGAGGAGTTCAGTGGTGTTTTGGAGGCAGGGCTCTATGACTTTCACTCTGGCTTCCATCTGATTGGAATCACAGTCTACACAGGTCCTTATTGGACATGGGTCTTTTCACACTGCAGAATTCAGAGAAGTAGAGTATGGGCTTTGAAGAGCATAGAGTATAAACTAAAGAATAGGGCCTGGACTTTGGAGTCAGACAAATGTCAGGTCAAACCACAGATCTACCCATTATCCAGTCAATGACATATTCTGTCTTCATTTGTCAGTTGGTAACAATCATGTTTCCTCTGTGCTCGTGAGAATTAAAATGCAACCCAGCATATGTCTGGCACAACTAGAAAGTTCTGAGCACTAGCTCACTTCTCTCATGCAATCTTTATGACTGGTACACAGCAGGCACCTTGCTAGTGGGAACAATGGTTACAGCTGAATTTGAACAAGTTCAAGAGAAAATGTAATTTATGGTTAATAAAATGTTAATTTAGAATATTCCTAAAGGAGCAGGAAGCTGAATTCTCTAAACATGGTTAGTATTTTATAAAGTAACTCTTAAGACTCTACAATTTTTTGTTTTGTTTTTGTTCCTTTTTGTTTGTTTGCTTTTTTTCCTCCTAGCTGCTGAAATAAAGATAGTATCAGCATTACTATTTGCAAAACTTTATTCACAGCAGCGGCACATATCTCCCAAGCATCCAAGTAGCCTGGGGTCTTCCACGAAGAGTTGTATGCTTAATCAGCCCCCAATTCCTTGAGGATGAACTTGAGTATAAATTGTTAAGGTAGCTGCTTACCCTGGGAAATGAATTCCGTCTTTCTGGCATAAATGCCCCATCTGATAAATGAGAATATGAGGGTAATGAACAGAATTTGCAGTCCCTGTGCTTTCTGGTAGGAGGTGAATTACTAAGAGTGACTAGACCCCAAAACATGTCTTTCTGGTAACTCCTTCTCATTCTCTTCTCAGGAATGTCACTGTCTCCTCTCACTTCCTGATGATTTCCCCACAACCCTACCACCAATGGGTCCACCCATTCATTCCTTCTTTATTGACGAACAAGCTCTGAAGACTTAAACACAGCACCTGTTCACAGAAAAGCTAGGGTCCCTTAACTAGGTAAAGTCTAAGGTCAACTCACTGATAAAAAACTGTAGTGAAAATATAAATATAGCCAGCTCTGCAGCACCGCTGACTCTCACAGCAAAGCTAACGAGGTAGTTGAGGACAAGGCTTCTAGCCTGGGTCAACTTGGATTTGAGTTCCCTTTCTGCCATTTAATCATGATATGGCTTCAGGAATCTTAAGTCTCTGAAACTCATTTTTTTTGGTTTGTTTCTAGAGTGGATATCAAAATAGCAGCATTAAAAAAATTAACATTTAAATTAAAAAATACAGCAACATTACATATATACATATATATGAAGAGAGAGAGACATTATAGTATCCCTCACAGCAAGTCCTTGATATGTCTCATTTTGTTTTTCTCTTAATTAATTCAATTAATATTTTTTATTATATGCAAGTGTCTATCGCTAGCAGTTGGGATGGAAAGTATGGCATGATTGATGTTATAATGGAGGAGAAAGGTGTTGCAATGATGGTAGAGTCTCAGAAATCCTCCAAGATTCCAGGAGGGAGGAAGGTAGAGTAGTTAAGAGTGGAGACACTGGCATGAGAGGATGCTTGTCAGTGAGGACTAAAAAGGAATGTTGTACACATAAAGATTCACTGAACATACGGATTTCAGGAGCTGCACAGTTTTTCAGAAAGCACTGAGTCTCTTCCATCTTTTTGTGACCCAGATGGGAAGCGAGGCTTTATAGGATGTCCACTCTGGCTGTTGGAAAGTCCTGCTGGGTAGTCTTTAGAGTGCTTCTGGGATGATGCATCAATTCCACATCCTCCTGGAGTCCTCTGAGGGAGTGGTAGACTGGGAGGGGAAGAAGGAAGGACAAATGGAAATTAGAATCATAGGAGCTTCAGTGATAGCTCACCTTACTACAAGTTCCAATATCAAAGCAAGTCTTCTAATTTTCCCAGACACAGACAGGTAGCTCTGATGGTTCTGGAAGGTTCCCAGAGTACTCTGAGAAATAGATAGAGAATTTGCATAATTCCTGATAAATCTTCTTATATTTTAGGGGTAAACATACCTGGGTTCCATTTCCAGATTGGCCTCTTATTGGCTGTGCAACCTTACACAAGTATATTTAATTTCTTAAATACCCATTTTTCTCACTATAAAATGGAAATAATGAGAGAATACAATGGGTTTATAATTTTTGAGATGCACAAAATACATGATACTTTTGATATATTTTAGTGTCTGACCTTCAATAGACAGCAGCTATTGTAATTAATATTTATTTATTTATCTATTATTTGAAATGCCTATAGTCTGGCTCTATTAAGGAATCAGCCCATTTTAGAGATCAGGTCTATGAAAGATAAATGAACAGAAACTGCAAACTTTAACAAAGGAGAAGAAAAAAGGTTGGGACAGTTGCACGAGATGAGCTAGTCTGGTAGACTTGGTGAAGGGCCTTCACGCTAACAGGAAGGGGTTAAACACTGGTGCCACTGGAGAGAATGGCACAACAAGGTTTGTGGGGAGAGGGGAGGGCATGCATTTAAACCAACAGACAGAGAAGATGCCTTTCACATTTCCTACCTTCTAAGTCTCTGTGGAATTGGAAGAATTAATGAACTAATATCTATAAAGTACTTGGAGGCTACCAAATAAAACAACTATAGAAATCCCAAGTAGTAGTATCATGTTATTAAACATTTATTGAACATAGTACAGAATATATAAGAGCTATACTTTCTACCCAGAGGGTTTAGAACCTAATTGCAATATTTTATTCATCATCTTGAGGGCAGAGGGAATTCTAAATAAACAATAAGTTTAACATATCTCCAAAGGATTAAAATAGATATTGCATCTGATCGCCATAATTTGCTCCCTGAATTTCTGGAATGTAATTTTATTGTCATTATACAATACAAACAGTTATACTGATACTAATGATAATGATACAAATCAAATAAATTATATGCCAGACACTTTTCTAGGTACTCCATGTATGTTATCTCCAATCCTGACAACAAATTCTGAAGAATGAGATTAATATCCTCATTATAAAAATGAGTAAATTGGGGCTTAGGGAAGTTATCCAAGATTACAGAGCTAGAAAATAATGTATTTGGCCCTATAAAACAGCAGAGACAAAGATATTCTAGCTTATAGATTATCTATCTTTTCCCCATAATCTTTTGAGATAGTTGAATAGTCTAGCTGTATACAAGCACTATAACTCTAGTATCTGTCTATTAAATTAATAACTAAAAGTTCTTAACATAGACTCTATAGATACTCTTTAAACTGTTCATGGAATGCTGTAAAATTCTTTGCAAATTTGTATTTCTAATGTGTTCTGCATTTTTCAGAGGAGTGGATTTAGAAACTTCATTAGATTATTGAAGGAGTTCACAGTCCAAATAAGATTAAAAACACTGAGCCCACCTTGGGCCAACTGTGTGTATTGGACAGGGTCCAGAAATATGCTTAGCATGAACCCCACCCTTAACTTCATATATGGCTCAGATATTGAGGGAGTCAGGGATCTACATGTGAATGAGAGATTCAACCTTCTTGCAGCTTTCCCCAGTTGATGTTTGTACTTCCTGTTTTTCAGTCACCCCTTGTGAGCCAGGGATATTAACTATACTACAAAGAGTTCTACCAGTCTAGTCCCAGGCCCCTGTCAAATACCATCTCTTCTGTAATATATTCCTTAACTCTCACAGAAAAGTTAATTACTCCTGCATTTATGTGTATCTCAGTATAAACCCATATTCAAGACATTATATAGCATTGCAATTATGTATGTGTTTATCTCCTTCATCAGAGTCTGCAGTTCTGTAGGGCAAGAGCAATATCATAATTCAGTTTTTTTCCTATCTATATCATGGGACCTAGAATATAATCAGTACTCAACTAAAACTTAATAAATAGACAGGTAGTTAGACAGATGGATATACTGGCACATGAATATTCTTTTTATAGTATTGAAAACTAAGATATTGAAGGGCATGTATTAGGACATAAGAACCCACTAATTTTAGGCCAAGTTATACACAGACTTATATTAGTAAAATTGGTTATGATCATGGGAAGAAGATGCCTGTCACACATTAATTGATGCTTTCCCTTTACTAATGGTTATAGAAGAATAATTCAATGCAATAGAATTTTGCAAAGGGTATAGCTTTTCCATTTAGAATAAAGTTAGGTGATCGGCTATAGTGTGCTGTAAAACTTATTTCAGTTTTCCAGTTCTCTAAAAAAGAAACACTCCAGTTGACTTTCCAGCTCCTGCTTTATGTAACTTGGCTTAATAGAGCAAAAACTTCTCATGATCACAAAAGCCTAATATTAGCACCTCAGTAATGTATTTAAGTTGCCACCTACCCATATAGGCTACCGATCCTTGGAGGAGCCTAATAGGACAGGAGAATTCCTGCTATTTTAGAGTGCCATTGACAGTGAAGAGGATAATAATCTTAAGCAATCTATCAGGCTTACATTTAGTGAAAATTCATAGCTTGTTAGCCTGGCTAATCTTTGAGTTACCTGTGTTTGTACAGAAAATCCTGTTATCTCTTATCCTATCTATTCCCGTGGTGATCAATGGGGCTGTATTCATGGCAGAAACCAGTCCTGATGACGTCATCCTCATCACCATGGGAACACTGTCTTTTTGCAAGGATGAGAGTTAAGTCCCTCCTAACAAAAGTCCAAGGGCTCTCTTGAAATATGATGAGAATTTTCCAGTGGGATTTAGCTATAATCCATGAGGGGTGACATGAAAGAATAAGCATTTATGAATTTTACCGAAAGCCCATGAATTCTAAGACTTAAAAAAGAAAATCTTATCTTCAAATAATAAAGAGATAAAAAGAATCCACTTTTACAGAGGCAGTTAGGTGTTTACCCAATAGAATAATCTGTGTGTTTTATGCTTTCCTCAGGTGTACCAGAATAGCCCTCCAACCCTTCAATCTACACTGCTGCCTGGCATCTCAGGAGAACCTGGTCCTAGAACAGAGAAATGTTTTCTGGACTATTTTGGTATAAATCTCTTATTTCTTCAGGCTGTAAAACAGAGTTGTACATTTATTACTCTTTGGTAAAGCATACTGACTTCATGAATTTGTGGCTTATTTTTTTCTCATTTGTTCAGTGGTGGCTACAGTAAGAAAGTTCTGAGATTTTCGCCCAGGCAAAAAAATAAAAATAAAAATAAAAATAAATAAAAAATTATTGTGGCATGAAAGATAACTCTTTGGTTTCTAAATGGACATGTTATATATTCCTTGGATACAGTATTCTCTAGAGTAGGAGGCCCCAAATTCCGGGCCATGGACTGGTACTGGTCTGTGGCCTGTTAGGAACTGGGCCACACAGCAGGAGGTAAGTGGCAGGTGAGCCAGCGAAGCTTCATCTGTATTTACAGCCGCTCCCCATCACTCACGTTACTTCCTGAGCTCCACTTCCTGTCATATCAGCGGTGGCATTAGATTCTCATAGGACTGTGAACCTGATTGCAAACTGTTTATGTGAGGGATCTAGATTGAGTGCTCCTTATGAGAATCTAATGCCTGAGGATCTGTCACTGTCTCCCATCACCCCCAGATGGGACCATCTAGTTGCAGGAAAACAAGCTCAGGGCTCCCACTGATTCTACATTATGGTGAGTTGTATAATTATTTCATTATATATTACAATGTAATCGTTATAGAAATAAAGTACACAATAAATGTAATGTCCTTGAATCATCCCAAAACCATCCCACCTCCTTCCCACTCCACCCCCGGTCCATGTGAATATTGTCTTCCACAAAACCAGTCCCTGGTGCCAAAAAGGTTGGGAACTGCCGCTCTAAAGGAAACCTTGTCTGTGGCAATATGAAGGTCACAGAGAAATATTTTGTTTTATACTTTATTCTGTCACTAAAGTTTCATGTTCATGCATTTTCCATAATGTCAGAAGTCATGGATAAGTCTATGAGAAGCTGAGGATATGGGCATGATCTCTGTGTTGCATCCCTAAAAATTTCTGGCTGGTGGTTTCAACAGCCAATGGGGCCCTAACAAAGTAGGCAGAGTCCTGTCCTTTGATGCATGGAACCAATCACTCTGCTGTGGAAGTTGAGGAAAGGGGGACATAAGTACTAAATCCATGACTTCTGGGGTCATAAATCCCTGACTCTGAGATGCAAATATAAGAAAAATTTGACACTTCAGGAGTTAAAGGCACTTCTAAAGTGCAAGACATCATTTCCTCTTACATCTGAAACCCCAACGTCCCTCAGACTCAGGCTTAGAGAAGCAGAGTGGCTTACTTAAAATCCCAGAATTGATGGATGATAGAACTGGATTTGAAGCTGTACTCTGAGATCCATGCAAAAAAAATTTGAGTCCTTTTTAGTAAAAAGATTCAAAGCTGTTAAAGCTGTTCTTGTATTGTATCCAGACACCATTCTAGTCTGAGTTGCTTACCACATGTGCCTTATTCCCCACCTTACCACACATTATACTTTCATCTTCACAAAAGACACTGCAATATCAATGACGCAAAAGTTCATCTATTATTTTTCCAACATGAATAAGAGACAGGAAAGACCAGCTAAGTGACACAGCAGAGAAAACCTGAACTTTTACTTAGCTTCAGCATTGAATCCAGTGTAATTTTTGAAACTGATTAATTTTGGAAAGCTTTTGAAATTTTGCGCTTACTTGGAGATTATACGAAATTGAATTAAGAGGCTCTTTGACTCTCTGCTAGCTGGGATATAGATCAGGGTTCAGACTGGCTGCTGCCTTATGTTGGCAAAGTAATTTAGGCAATTCATCCACAGCCTGCCT